ACGTGTTTGTCCAGACGCTCACCGCCTCCCTACACAGCTGATTCCATCTTCATTCAGAGATGCAACTCTGACATCTGCTGGGCAAGAGGCATCAGTGCAGAAAAACAAATTCTTTTTTATATCGAACTCTGAGCATCTCTCATATCCCTTTACAATTACAGGTGACCCACCGCTTAATCTTTCGGATAAACGGTCTTTTCAAAAGCATCAAGGCATGACATAATTAGACCCTTGGAGAAGAGAGGGGAATTTTGAAAACCAAAACAATAGCACAATACATTGACACTTCAGTTAGCAGGACTTTAGTTCACTTTATTTTCTCCTGTGTTTTCACTAGAAAGGAAAAGGTGAACAAAAGAGACTCCAGAGCTACGTTGTTTAAAAACAGCATCTATCTAATTCAGAACCTCGTCTGACCTTCAGGGCCCTAAACAGTCTGGGACCAGGATATCCTTGGGACCGCCTCTCCCTATATATGCCCCGAAGGGCATTATGCTCTGGAGATTAAGAACCTCCTCGAGATCCCTGCCCCAAAGGATATCTGGCTACCCTCAACCAGAGCCAGGGCTTTCTCAGCCTTGGCACCAGCCTGATGGAACTCTCGGCCTAATGACATCAGGACCCTGAGGGACCTAAAACAGTCCCGCAGAGCCTGTTAAGACAGAGATGTTCCACCAGACCTGTGGCTGAGGACAACAACGGCTGCCCTCAAGCCTGGCCTCCCCGACTCCCCCTGCCCCGAGTAAGAGATGGAATATTCAACACCACCTGTTTAGTCGACTATTGTTGTTTTTATTGTTTTAAATTTTATTTCTACGTACATATTATAGTATTTATGAGAATGTATCTATGACTTCTTGTTAACCACCCTGAGCCCCAATTGGGGTGAGGGCGGTATGTGAATAAAATAAATAAATAGTCCCTATCAGTGTTCCCTCTAAGCTGAGTTAGTGCGAGCTAGCTCACAGTTTTTTAGCCTCCGACTCACACATTTTTGTCTGAGCTCAGGAAGGATGGCTCCAGAGCAAACTAATTGATGCAGTAGCCAAATCGCTCGCTCTCAACTTTAATGCCAGTAGCTCACAAACTAGAAGTTTTGCTCACAAGACTCCACAGCTTAGAGGGAACATTGGTATGCGGATCAAAAAATCCAGGGAATATGGCCAGGTACATACTGGGGTATTTTTCTACAGACCTGAGGGACTCCCCCACATTTTCTGCAAAACCCCCCAAAGGAAAAAAAAATGTGTGGGGAAAGAGCAAGAGGTAGCCATGCCATGTTGCAAGGTTTTGGCTGCTCTGTTTGTAAGTTGTTTTATGATGTATCTGGTTTTCAAACAGAGTCCAGATGGCCATCTGACAGCAATGCGGATTCTATGAACTTAGGCAGATCATGAGAGGGAGGGCAGGACGGGTTGCCTCAGTGCTTAGTCCTTGTGGCCCTTTCTTACACTCCCAGGGAAATGCTGATCACCACTTTGGGGTCAGGAAGCAATCCTGGAGGTCTTTTGTCATCTTCTGGGTGTGGAACAGCGGTCACTGCAGGTGTGGAGGGGGAGGTATTTGTGAAGGGAAAGGAGTTTGTAAGCTGCTCTGGGACTCCGAGTGAAGGGCAGGGTATAAACCCAGTCTCCTCCTCCGCCCCCCACATCGTTCCTTATGGATCAAATTTAAAGGTCCCACAGAAAAGTTGTTGCCATTCACTATTAACAAGAGAGGCACTGTTTGTATAGTGGTTAGAGAGGATTGGGAACACCCAAGTTTGAAACCCTCACTCTGCCATAGAGGCTTGCTGAGCGATGCTGGGTCCACCAAGCACTCTCAGCCTCAAAGGTAGCCTCATAGGCAGGGTGTTGTTGTGAGGACAAAATGGAGGACTGGAGAATGGTGTAAGCCATTTGTGGTTCCCGGTAGTGGGAATAATGGGATATGAGTGAAGTAAATCAGTCAATATTTAAATGAGATGTCTGACCCTTCCCAGATTCTCATACAATGAAATTGAAGCAGGCAATTTACATGAGAAACTGCAGCTGGAAGATGGTGAGTTTGGGAAGAGGGAGTTATTGTCACTTGGATGTTTTCAATAATGCATTGTAAACCGCCTTGAGAGACAGGGAAAGGCAGAATATAAATGTTTTAATAAATAATAAATTAATAAATAAACTTATCCAGGATCAGCTAGTGGGCCCACAACTAAGGCAGGACTGGAACCGGAGTCTTGTGTTACGCTGCATTCTATCAAATTTTTGAAAATCTTTTCTCAACTTCTCAAATAATTTGGAAAGGTCTGGCAATTCAAGCAAATCTCTCAGCAGAACAGTAATGCTTTCAGGTTACTGTTTCGTCTGATTCTTTTTTACTGTTTTCCTAATGCAGCTCTTAAAACTGTTTTATGTTTTTTGCTGGCTTTTAAAGTATTTTGCATCAGCTTTATACGGATTTATGGTTTAATTCTGGATCACCAGCTTTGGAGAAGAGTTGCAGGATAAACAGCAGAATAAAGTTCAAGTCCAGTGGCACCTTTAAGACCAACAAAGTTTTATTCAAGGTATAAGCTTTCATGTGCACGCACACTTCTTTAGATATATTGAAATGGAAGTTATCAGGCCATACATATAGGTAGAGGGTGAGCAGCAAATTAGCACAAGCATAATGAAGGTGTTTAACAGATGCAAGGACCAAACCAGAATAACATTTGCTTGGGTTTAATTCTGGGGGGAAACATAGTGGAGGAAATAAATATATCAAAATCGGAGACTGATGGGCAGAGGCACCCTTCTTAACTGTGGGATGCTGAGAGTAATTAACTGAAGCCTTACTACACTCAAGCACAGAGGCAACAGTATAGCAGTATAGGAGGGTGGTAAGCAGTAGGGTACCACAGGGATCAGTACTCGGTCCGATGCTTTTTAACTTATTAATGATTTGGAGTTGGGAGTAAGCAGTGAAGTGGCTAGATTTGCAGATGACACGAAGTTGTTCAGGGTGGTGAGAACCAGGAGGATTGTGAGGCTCTCCAAAGGGATCTGTCGAGGATGGGCGAGTGGGTGTCAACGTGGCAAATGGGGTTCAATGTGGCAAGTGCAAAGTGATGCACATTGGAGCCAGAAATCCTAAATATAAATACACATTGATGGGGTCTGAACTGGCAGAGACTGACCAAGAGAGAGATCTTGGTGTCGTAGTAGATAACTCAATGAAAATGTCGAGACAGTGTGCAACTGCAATAAAAAAGGCCAATGCTATGCTGGGGATTATTAGGAAGGGAACTGATAACAAATCAGCCAGTATAATAAATGCCCCTGTATAAATCAATGGTGCAACCTCATCTGGAATACTGTGTGCAATTCTGGTCACCACACCTCAAAAAGGAGATTACAGCATTGGAAAAAGTGCAGAAAAGGGCAACTAGAATGATAAAAGGGTTGGAACACTTTCCCTATGCAGAAAGGTTAAAATGCTTGGGGCTCTTTAGCTTGGAGAAATGACGGCTGAGGGGTGACATGATCGAGGTTTATAAGATTATGCATGGGATAGAGCAAGTTGAGAAAGAAGTACTTTTCTCCCTTTCTCACAATACAAGAACTTGTGGGCACTCAATGAAATTGCTGAGCAAGTTAGAACAGATAAAAGGAAGCAGTTCTTCACCCAAAGAGTGATTAACACATGGAATTCACTGCCACAGGAGGTGGTGGTGGCTACAAGCATGGACAGCTTCAAGAGGGAATTAGATAAGCATATGGAGCAGAGGTCCATCAGTGGCTATTAGCCACAGGGTATAGATAGGAACTCACAGGCTGGGGCAGGTGATGCAATGTATTCTTGTTGCTGGGGGGGGGGCAACAGTGGGAGGGCTTCTAGTGTCCTGGCCCCACTGCTGGACCTCCTGATGGCACTGGTATTTTTGGCCACTGTGTGACAGAGTGTTGGACTAGATGGGCCATTGGCCTGATCCAACATTGGCGTCTCTTATGTTCTTATGTTCAGTATACGCAAAGTTCCACCAGTGTAAACCCACTGAAATCAAGGGACGGACTGGAGTCATGCTGTACAAGATTGTACTAATAAATGCTTCCGTTAATAAATGGTGCCACTACACTACTGCCTTGAAATGATTTAATTAGAGGCGAAAATAACTGACATTTGTTACCACTACTGTCTCTCTAGCAGGAGCAGGGGGCTGGGGGGGGGGGGGGGGGGGGAAATACATCAGCTGGGGCTTGATTCTGTACCAACCTCAAGGGGGGGCCTGGAGTTCTCCCAGAATTACAACTGATCTCCAAACTACAAAGATGACAGAGTTCTCTCAAGAAAATGGCACCTTCAAAGGGGTGACTCTTTGGCATCACATCCCTGAAGAGCTCCCTCCAAAAATCCCACCCTCTCCAGACACCCACCCCAAAATCTCAAAGAATTTCTCAAGCAACCCAAGGGAGCAGAAGTTGGCAACCAAGGCTCCCTTTCAGCCCTTTCCTTACAGGTATTCCATTCTGGCCCATCCCAGCTTACTTTCACACCTACCTTTAATAATTATTTGCCTCACCCAGAATTTAGGGCTGCCAACTCCAGGAAGGGAAATTTTGGGAGATTTGAGGGTGGTACCTGAGATGGCAGGTACCTGAGATGGGGGGGGGGATTTCACCTAGAATCTATGGTATACCATCGAGTTTGCCCTCTAGAGTGCTCACTTCCACCAGGGGAGCTGAGATCAGCTGTAATTCCGGGAGATCTCCAGGCCCCACCTGGAGGTTGTCAACTGTCCCGGGAATCCCTGCAAAAAGTAGCCGTGTGACTACAGGGCAAGATGGAAGGCGAGCCTCTCTAGACGGAGACTCCTCAGCAGCCTCCACAAACTACAATTCCCGGGGTCCTCTGGGGTAGGTAGGAAGCAAGTGCTGACAGCTACCCCGGGGTCAAAACAAGTGCAAGCGCGTGCCGGGCGGCGCAGCCCGTCCAGGTCCCCTTCCAAAGCCCCGGGAAGAACCCCGCCGGCTGCTTACCGTGCCGGGTCAGGTACTCGACAATCTCCCACACCAGCGTCGGGACGCCGTCCCGGCTCAGCCCCTGCTGCTGCAGCTCCGCCAGCCCAACGCCGAAGACCCTCCTCCACGAGGTCGCCCTCCGTCGGCTCAAGGGGGGGGCGGCGGCGGCGGCGGCGGCGAGCTTCTTCACGTCCTCCTTCAGCCGCACGGCCGACTTGCTTTGCTTGAAAGAGCACAGGAAGAGCGAGCAGTCAGTCACGGCCACCACGGGGGGCTGCATGGTGGGGAAGGGGGCAAGCGGGCGGCGGCGGAGGAGGAGGAGGCGAAGGAAGCGCAAAGCCCGGAGAGGCGGGAGGCTTGGGATTGGGAAGCGGGGCGGCCGAGCGCACCAGGAGGAAGGGAAAGTCCAGAGGAGGAGCCTCCGCGGCCACGCAGCCCAGCAACGGAGCGGAGGGCTCGAGGCGTTCCGGCGGCATCTCCGCAGCAACTGAAGGCGGGGCCGAAAGGCGAGAGGCGCTGGGAAGGGGAGACGTCGGATCCCAACTGCAGCCGCTGCGACCGAGAGAAAAGTCGACTCATGCGTTGAGTGAACCCGATGCCATAAATGCGGCGGTGAAAGTCGCCAAGTGCAGCGTCCTAATCGAGAGGAGTCACGTCGAAAGGAACCGGTGTGGATTTTCCGCGCGCATGCGTGCGCCTGGGATCCGGGGGCTGGATAGGACTTCAAAACAAGCATTTTTTTGTTTAGGCACTTGTATCCCACTTTTCTCCCCATTGGAGATCCAAAGCAGGCTACAGTTCGTTCCCCCTTCTCCCATTTTATCCTGAGAACAACAACCCTGTGAGGTAGGGAGGGCTGAGAGAGTGTGTCTGGCCCGAGGTCACCCACTGAGCTTCATGGCATGGTGGGGGTTGGGACCTGGGTCCTTCAGACCCTACTCCTCCTTCCTCCACTGTATTCTGACAAAAACAATCCTGAGAGGGAGGGCGGGCTGAGGAGTATGTCTGGCCCAAGGTCACCCAGTGAGCCTCAGAGCACAGAGGGGCTCCAAACTGTGGTCTCCAAGATCCTACTCTGACCCTCTAGCTACCACACCCTGTTGCAGCTAATGGAAGAATGCTGCAGCTAGGATCATGTGACCCCCATCCTACAACAATCCACTCCCGCTCAACAATCTGCTCAGTTTAAATGTGTTGGTCTTGATCTTTAAAGCCCACATGGCTTGGGACTGGGGTATTTGAAGGACCATCTTCTCCCATATGTTCCCGCCTGGGAATTAAGATCACAGGGAGAGGCCCTCCTGACTGTCCCATCAACCAAAGCAGCTCCTCTTGTGGGTACAGGAGAGAGGGCCTTTTCAGTGGCAGCCTCAAGATTACAGAACAACCTCCCTGGGGAGGTGCACCTAGCCCCCTCACTTTCAGTCTTTTAGGAAGTGGCTGAACAGGGCCGGCTCACTCACTAGGCAAACTAGGCGATCGCCTAGAGCGGGCTGGCCCTTAGGGGCACCAAACTGCACCCAGCCCCAAACTCTGGGAGTTTCTTGATTATTTGTGTTTTTCATTCTTCCTAAAATGCATTTATTTTTGAAAACTGGTGGGCACACGGGGGGCGCCAGAAGGGATCCTCGCCTAGGGTGTGAAATAAGCTGGGGCCGGCGCTGCAGCTGAATACAGTTTTATTTAAGACTGCTTTTGATTAAAGCAGCCCTAAACTGTGATTTCAAATTTTGATTTTATGTACTTTATGTACTTTGATTTATATATTTTATTTATATTGTAAGCCAAAATGAGCTCCATAAGAAAGGCAGCTAATAAACATTTTAAACAAACAGTATTCCTATGATACTCTCTGATTGTGTCATCAAATATGTAGCTATTCTGCACTTTTTGTTTTGTTTACTGATATACTTCCCATGATTTTACCGATGTGGCTCACAATGACCTGAATCCAGTCTGTTATTCTAAGGGGCTGATAAGATTGACGGCTTCTAGTTCCTCCCTCAGTGCATTAGAGCTAATCCGATTCCCAACTGTGTGTATGCAAATATATAGAGATTGGTTGTGGGTCTGTCAGAGGAAGAGAAGAGAGGAGGAAAGAGAGAAGCAAAAATGGACAATGATGGAAAACTTCCTCAGATAGGTCTCAGACATTGATAGAGCTGGGCACATGGGGCTCAAGTGTCTCTAGAGTCTGGATCGGGTTAGGTATCCTGTGACAGGCATGTTAGGTTACTTCAAACAAATGGCGTGTTAGTGATGTCAGAGGACTGAGGGGGAAATCCTGGGAGAAAAGCTAACATTCTTTCTGGATTCAGGTGGGTCGTCATGTCGGTCTAAAGCAACAGAACAAAGTTGGAGTCCAGTGGCACCTTTAAGACCAACAAAGTTTAATTCTGGGTAACAGCTTTCATGTGCAGGCAGTGTATCTGAAGATCTGTGTGTGCACACGAAAGCTTATACCCAGAATTTATTTATCTATTTATTTATCTTTAAATTTATACCCCGCCCTCCCCGAAGGCTCAGGGCGGCTCACAAGGGGCACGAATGCCCAAGTTAAAACATTAAAACAGTACAGAACAACATACAATACAATAAATACAATTCACTAAAATTTACTTTACGGTGCTCCAAAATTATTTAACTATAAAATTCAAGATGGAGTTCTAAAATATTAAGAACAAGCAACAATAATAACAATAAATATAGCAGCAACAATATACGCCCATACAGCGATTGTCCTCTGCCAGGCACGTCTCACACCCCCAATAGTCCCTGCTCTGTGGGACTAATGACGGGGGCGTAGATAGAATGATGGTGACGATGGTGACATAATGATGATGGCAAAATGATTGTGGCGGTGTAATGATGGTGGCGGCGGCTCCTACTCAAAAGCCTGGCGGAAGAGCTCCGTCTTACAGGCCCTGCGGAACTGCACTAAGTCCCGCAGGGCCCGGATCTCTTCTGGAGCGCATTCCACCAGGTAGGAGCCGCCACCAAGAACGCCCTAGCCCTGGTAACCGCAAATCTGATGTTTCTGGGGCCTGGAATGTCCAGGAGATTTTGATTCCCCGACTGTAGTGCCCTTGGGGGAACATGCGGGGAGGTCCCTAAGGTAAGCCGGACCCTGACCATAAGGGGCTTTAAAGGTCAAAACCAGCACTTTGAAGCGAATCAAACTTTGTTGGTCTTAAAGGTGCCCCTGGACTCAAACTTTGTTCTATCATTTCTAGAGTCTGATACTCCTGGGCTTACTGAGTCATTCCAAGTAAAATGTGTCCCTCTCTCTCTCTCCAACAGGAACATCCTGTCATTTCAGTAACCTTGAGAGAGTGATACTGTTATTTCTTCTAAAGCAGAGCTTCCAATCCCCTTAGCTGTAAATAGTTATTACGTGCAAATACCCCTTCACTTTCCCACCCAACCACTCTTTATGAGGCCTTCTAAAGAAAAGGCAATACATTTATCCTTGTGCTGCTGAAAGATGGGTGTTGGTGGGAATCGCTCCAGAAAGGGGATGGGGGGAAAAGGAATAGAACTGTGGTGGGAAACCTATGGCACGGGTGCCAGAGGTGGCACTCAGAGCCCTCTCTGTGGGCACATGTGCCATCGCCCCAGCCAGGCCCAGACCATCATTAAAGTGTCGAATTCTCTGCCAAATAATTTTAAGTAAATGAAAGCATTTGGGATTGCTTTCCTTACTTTGTTTGGATCATCTTAAGTTAATGTATGAGTTGGTTTTTCTAAAGTAAAACCTCAGTATTCAGGTTAAACTGCCATGTTGGCACTTTGCGATAAATAAGTGGGTTTTGGGTCGCAGTTTGGGCACTCGGTCTCTAAAAGGTTCGCCATCACTGGAATAGAAACTACCTCAGACACTTGTGCTGGCCCTCCCATATCCCCCCATCTGTAACTGCAGCACATTATTCACCATGGCTATTTCCATATTTAGCCCTACTGGTGAGGTGCCAACCTCCAGGTAGTGCCTGGAGACCTACCATTATTACAATCGATCTCCAGGCGACCAAGACCAGTTTCCCTGGAGAACATGGCTGCTTTGGAAGGCGGTCTCGATGGCATTGTAGCCTGCTGAGGTGTCTCCCCACCCCAAACCCCACCTTCCCCAGGCTCCACCCCTAAATCTCCAGGTATTTCCCAACCCAGAGCTGGCAACCCTACCTACTGACCCCTTGAACATGACAAAACCCAAACTGCTCGGTCACTACACTGGGGTGTGCAACAAATGGAGGGAAACTGAGGCAGAACCCTGCCGTCACAGCCCGACACAACTGCAACAAGGTACCAGCACCTTACATGGTCGGTGTTGTCCACTGCCTTCCCATTTGCTCCGAAATCAATTCAAGGTCTTGTCAAGGCATCCTCCTATGGGGTTCTCACACAGAGAGATAAATATTAAACTACTTTACAGAGCTGTTTCAAGTATTACTGAGACCTCGGCGCGGTGCGGGTGTTAGCTGTGATGTGTTCTCCTCCTCCTTGAGTGGTGAGAAGTTCCAAGTACTTGGGGCTTGTTCCCTCTGGAGAAGGGAGCACTGGGTCTTATGGCATTTTTGTGGTACTGAGTTTATTTGCAAATATACAGGTAGAGGGTTCCTGGAGACTAGCAGGCACTCTTAAAGGGCAGCATATAAAGTAATCCCAAGAGAAAGAGGGTAAGAAATCCTGCACTTCCAAGATGTTTCAGCCAACTCACATCCCTGTGCGGCTGCTTCTCTCACTGCATTAAAAACCAGTATTGTGTCACATAACCCTGATGGGGCCTTCGACTAAGCCATTTCCTAACAATTAAGACGCACTACAGTAAAAGATTTGCCACACTTTTCTCTTAGGCTCTGCTTCTCCCCTAGGCACGCTGCTTTTAGGTCAAGCCTGAAGGACCGATCCACAGTAACCAGAATACAAGCTGGTAACATAACATTCCTGATTTCTCATAGCACGAGAAAAGAGCAAACGTCCAGTAGCACCTTAAAGACTAACAAAATTTGTGGCAGGGCATGAGCTTTCATAAATCATTGCTCACTTCTTCAGATATCTGATATTCTTCAGTATCTGAAGAAGTGAGCAGTGACTCACAAAAGCTCGTACCCTGCCACAAATTTTGTTAGTCTTTAAGGTGCTACTGGACTCCTGCTCTTTTCCCACTGCTACAGGCAGACTAACACGGCTACCCATCTTGAGCTAACCCCCTTGTAACATGGTTAGGAAACGGGGAATGGGCCAAAGGTTTGCAAAGATCCTCTGCCCCTTTTCAAGACTCAGTGATTTCCAGAGACTCGCTCAC